TGTGAATAATAATAAAAATTAAGATAAAAACATATTATAAACATTTCAGATCTTTAAATTATACTGATAAATTTAATATTTCGTCATTATATTGATGTGTAAAATAATTTGGATATTTTTTTTATTTTAATAAATTAATAAGAATAACGTCGTTAATTGAAAATTTTTCATTAAAAACAGATTTCAATTTCCAGTATAAGTTGAATGTAGAACTTTTGAATAAGCTCAAATTTTGGGATTCTCCATATCAACTTTGAAAATTTATTTTCTTAGTCAATAAGCATTTTTAGGATTTAACCAAACACTCATTATTTACCCGAAAATAGTTTTGCCCTCAAAACACACTTGCCACTTCAATAATTTAATATTCGACACATGGGAAAATACTTCACTTCCATTAAATTTTTTCCAGTGGCCCATTTTTCTCTCATTCACAATTTTCCCAAAAATCTATAGAATGACAGTGGACATCTTTCTCCCAACCACTATTTCTCCCACCGATTTTTCTCCTAGCCACTATTTCTCGTAGAAATTTATATAATGGCAAAGGACGACAAATTCTACATATTATTCAATTCTTGGTTCAGGAAATGAGAGTAAATATGAGATCTCTAGAACTTCACAAAAGACGATGGTGCATCTTTCATTCACAGTAGCCCAAAGTTGAGTGCAGGCACTGGCCTACACTCGATTATATATGGCTCCACGCCTGGCTAAAATAGACTGTCGATAAAAGTTCCTCTCATATACATACTAGAGATTGTGTGTAGCTCACGTGACTGGAAAAATAGACATTGTTAATATGATAGTCCAAATATAGGACTCGGCTATACAAAGTGGGTCACATAATGTAATCTCTCTCTCTGCTCCTCTCTCTTTCTATCTCATGTTTCTTATTTTTCTCTGTCATATTTATTATTTTTGTCTTTCCTATTAAACGCCAGTTCGAGTTTCATTTCTCAAAAATAGTTTTTGTAAAATGTAATTTTTTTGAAGAAGTATTTGTTAAAAACATAAGAATTTTTTTTAAATCTTTATTTTATTGAGAAATTAGCATTTAAATATATAAGTTTGAAGAAGATTAAATTTTAAAGAATGCGAGTCAAACAAGGGTTAAATATACATTAACAATGAATTATGAATGACAGATGGAACTCAAGATGAAAATTGACAATTTACCATCCATTAACATAACAATAATATCATGTAGATCGAAGTCTTTCTGTTTATATGCGACTTAGATTTCAATCCATGAAATGCATCAAATATGCTCTTAGAAGTAGAGTGATTTATTAATTGGATTGGGGCGGGGAGAGAGAGAGAGAGTTTTACTAAGTGTCAATTGATACCCTGGTGTATAGCCCTCCTCACGAGAGGGGGTCCATGATTTTTTTTTGGGTGTGGGCAGACTATACATTGAGGTGTCAATCTTGATATATAAATAGCAAAATTCATAGATAAAAGATTTTGTTAAGTGTACACCCGGTATACAGTCCCTCACCAGACAGGGACCTCGATGTAGAAATAGTAAAATCCATAGAGAAAGAATTTGTTAAATGTACATCAGGATTGATACATTGATGTGGTCCATGATTTTTTTTAAAGCAATTGGGGAGAGGATATTATTTGTATAACCTAGACAACAGAATTGGGCAATAGAAAGAACCAATGGTCCATTTGGATACCAACTTTGAACTTTATCATCTATTTCTTAAACATTACTCTCACATAGATTGGAAGTTCGTCTTCTTAATGCAATCCACAAAATACATTGAAAATGCTCTAAATAAAATACTCTATATTAAAATATCACCCTTAATCATTTACAAAAAAATAAATAATAATGATGATGATGATAATGATAATGATATCTCCTTACCAATGATTAGGTACTTCGGACACTCACGAACACAGAAGCCGAAACCCACCAATCTACCATAAGCAGCCCATGTTTGTTTTTTATTCAACATTAACTTCGGTCATTTTCAATGTGTTTTGGAGCTTTTAATATGAGAGATTATAACTTCAAAGGGAGGCAAGGAGCTCAAACTCTTAAGGGCCTACTTGGGAGTC